AATCCCATGAAATCCCCTATAAATAAAGGTTTTAATGGGAAAATCAGAACAGGAGGAGATCTCCGCAACGCGGTGTTTGAGATGATCTTAGCCAGCCTGAGATATTTACTGGGATATGCGGGCTTTAATGGGGAAATCATCTATAAACAGGGCTATAAACAGTGGAAAATCCATGAAAATCCTTTTTGTGAATGCGATATTTTCGTGAGGACCCTTTATGTATGACCCCTCTGGTAATGTAACAGTTTGCTTTGGACAGTTTTCTATTTAGTTCGATGATTTACCTATTCAATGAACATGATGATTTTCCATAGTGTTGAATTACCAGGCGGTGGCATGAAGCTCTTGGATGTATCTTTTCTTGCCAGACGCAAGGATTTGGGGATTCCAGGTGAAAAAGAGATGTGCGTCATGTCCGATATAATATATAGCCTTTATAGTTGATTTACCTATTATAAATGGTGATTTTCCATAGCTTTTTGTATGTTTACCAGAGGGTGTATATATATATATACACACAGTTATTAATACACTGTATAATACTGTATAGAAGCTTATTCTATTTCTTACTCCACAATGTTATTAACATAAGTTAGTAGAATATAACAGATCATCTAACCCATTATAACTTCACTTAACTTACACAGTATGGAAGCAACGGGAAGCAGCTCGAACGAACAGAACCAGGCGCCACTACCGGTGGCCGAGGCCGCCGCCACGACCGAGGCGCCGGAGATTGCGGATGAAACTTCATCAGCTATGAATACAATAGATATAATATATTATTGTATCTACATTATAATATATATATATATTATGTATATACACTATATATATACTATATATATATACACACTATGTGTATATACTATATATATATGTAATTAGAGATATACTAGATAACCTAGATAATGTAACTTCCTATGATCTGTATATTAGTATATATACATGATACACTATACACGGTTGATCTGTTGAGGCGCCTGAAACGTGACCATGGCGCCATGGTTTTCACGGTTTTTTTCCTTATCGCCTTATCATCTTATGACCAAAGATGGTGAAACATCATACCCTCTGGTAAACTAACATAGCTATTGAAAATGACCATTTATAGTGAGTTTTCCCATTGAAAATTGTGATTTTCCATAGTTATGTAAACGTTTACCAGGCCGGGTAGTTTTAACGATCACAATGACCAAACTCAGCTATGGCCCAAAAGTATGGGTCCTCAAGACTCGATAGTTTGAAACTGTAAGCGACCCAAGGATGTGCAGGGAAAAAACACATGTGGTCAAGAGAGAGACTTTATACCCATACTGGGGTATGGTCATCGATCCATTATCAGGGATTTACATATATTTACATATATTTACATATATTTACATATATTTACATATACTTACATATATTTACATATATTTACATATACTTACATATATTTACATATAACCCTGATGGTGAAATAACCATAACCCACAAACAAATCATGTCTTGAAGACGCCCCTGTCATCTAAGTCATCTGCTCCCAGGAAGCCGACGATGGCACCAAATCGAGGCGAAATCGACGAAGGCGGGGCCCGGCGCTGTGAAGACGGACGAATTTCCTACGAGGGTACCCCAAAATGCATTTTATAATAGGAAAAATGGATGATGGATGAGAAAATCCTATTTAGATGGATGATTTAAAAATCCTATTTATTTCATGGAAAATCCCATGGAAAATCCTATATAAATATAGATGGATGAGAACGATGAGAAAATCCGGGGTACCCCGTGACTTAACCCCCATTTTTCGTTCCGGTTTTCATTGGATGGCCCAAAATCTGGAGAGCCCAAAATCTGGAGAGCTCGTATCGGGATACGATGATCCATTGCATATTAGTGCTGAATCTGAAAGGGTTTTCTACATCAATCGAAATGATGATGAAATGGGGGTGAATAGCTCGGCAATACAGATTGTATTTGATTGATTTTTGTTGGCGATTTTGGTATGGGAGAGTCACCGTGAAGATATTGGCAGCCCAATCTCAGATACTCTGATTTTAGGGGATGGCACCATATATCGCTTGAGTTTCTACCAACGGTTGGATGCCATTCGGAACATCCAGAACCCCAATGACAACCGAAGGATAACTCAGTGATTTGGCAATGTTTTGGCAATGTGGTTGCAACCATATGATATGCAACAGAAACAGAGGATACTTGGGATTGCTGCCAATGGTGTTGACAAGACAATTAATTATGGCTCGGTGCCGCAATTTCCAGTGTCGAACCCTGTTTCAGACCATTAGCCAAACCGATATATCAAGTTGAGTTTTCCAATTATTTGATTTTGTTTAAAACCACCAGATCCACCAGCGAATCAGTTACAGTCCCTGTTTTCCATTCGCATGGTCCTTGCTCATCCGGCAAACACCGAAACATGGTCCGACCCGTATCTGCGTGCGCCAACTCAAAATCCGTCCGGCGCAACGGCACCCCGCAGATCCTGCAGGAAAAAGCTGCCAAGTGCCACGGAGAATTTTGGGGAAATGTGGTGTTTGCATGTGTTTGCATACACATCTTTTATCCATATTGAAATTGCTGTTAGTTTGGTATATATATACACCATATATATATATCATGTTTGCCATTGAAGAAGTATCCTTGCTGCAGGAGAAGAAGATGAGGTCCGCGATGACCTGAGGACAAAAATCGTTTCTGGGAGAAAAAGATGTCGGCCGCACAGCGCCACACCATGCCACACCTGGATTCCTATGGGGATACACCCAAACCAAACATGGCAATTTAGTGGCAATTTATATATGGACTGGTTGGTGGTTTCAATCTATATTATCATGGTGATATTTATAATCATGACGCAATATCCTGGTTGGTGGTGTGGAACATGGCTTTTATTTTTCCATATATTGGGAATTTCATACTCCCAACTGACTTTCATATTTTTCAAAAGGGTTGAAACCACCAACCAGTGGAGGTTTCCTAAAATGGGGGACCCCTAAATCATCAATTTGAAGAGGATGGTCCATGAAATAAACCATCCAGCGATAAAGAGGTACCCCCATGACTATGGAAACCCTCATATAATTCCCATATGCTCCATGTATGGAATATTTACCTACATTTACCCCAAAAATTGCCCAAATGTAGGTAAATATTCCATACATGGAGCATCTGGGATTTATTAGGAACATCACAACAAACCATAACCAATTGGTTAACCATGGGGGTTGGGTACCTATGGGTCCCAACCATTTTCAGACCAACCCGTGTTGATATATGTTCGGAAAAATCTTCAATCGAATGCAAACAACATATGTAATTTTTAAATATTCATAAATATGGAACCTGCAATTTCAGTAGTCGTCAATTCAAAAAAAAGAAACTGTAATCCTCACTAATTATTTGGGTGGTTTACTTTATATACTATATGTATCCATGTATATATAATATATATACATAATAATATAATATAATGTAATATGATATGGTACAATATGATATGATATAACATAATATAATGTAATATAATATAGTATAATATGATATAATATGATATAATATGATATATATATATACACATGCATAGATAGATTAAAGTGACCTCACTAGTTATATGGGAGTTTTCCCATTAAAACCGCCAAATATTGTGGATTTCCATGGATTTCTATTTTCAAACCATCCGAATTTGGGAATGTGCCCTGCCGCGTTTCGTGCAACATTGATCTGAGAACCTGACAGGAGGATTTTCTCAAAGTGCGGTAGCGATGTTGTGGGGAGTCATACGGTATGAACAGGTTGATGCTTCATTTATTCACAAAAAAACATAAACAGTTGTTTTATAATTCGAAAACAAAGCAAAGATATAGAATTTTGACGGCGGTTCTAATATATTTTACATATATATATATATATTTATAAGTATGTATACATGATATACATACATGCACAGGTTCTAGTATAGATATATATGAATACATACCTTTTAATAATGCATGAAGCCGTAAGGCGGTTCTTTGACGTGTCAAATTGATTACTCAATCATCCATATCGGTTTTTGCCCAGTGCCCTGCTCCATTCATATCTGAACATGAGATACATATACCTGAGAATTGTATGCCAGCTAAAAAGGACACGTGATTTCATCATATTTTATCAAGAAATGTAAGACTATCATATAATATTATATATATAAGACAGTTCATCATACAGTTTTTTTGGTTATCAACCACCACATAGAAATGTGAGAACCTCAGACGCTTAAAGTTACGGTGGAGTACCTGGGACGTACGACGACACATGGCGGCTGATGTCATAAACTGCGGCCTTGCCAGGGGAACAGCAGAATTTGTTGGTCCATGTAATGTGAACATAGGACACTTGAGCCATAGCCGGAGGTGGCCTCATCTGGCAAAAATTCACATTCAGGCCCTCAATTTGCTGATAAATATAATTCGGCACGAAACCACATTTCCACAAGCCGTGTCCTTTCAGCCAGCTTTTTATGAGAGTCAGCAGCCCTCGAGCACAATCGGCTGGGTCAAAATCAGTGGACACGTGCAACCCCCCAAAAAAAACCATGTGTTATTCATGTCATGTTTTTGTTTTTTTTCTCAAAATAGACATTAACTTAAGAAGAAACCGGATGGTTCAACGCATTGAATTCTTATTGTATATTGAAAGAACACTTAAGGTTTGTTGGTCTCAATTTTTGATCCATCCGGGTACGGGTCAAGTCCTTGACTCCAGTTCAAAACCCATGGCTCTGGCTGGTGATGATAGGGGGATAGTTCATGTTGGTTCTACTCTAATACTACCCAAAATATCAAGAATTATCCTCATCCACTAGTTTAAGATTGCTTCGCCATCAAAAAACTTACCAACAGAACCGTGAAATATCATGGAAATACTAGCCATATCTAGCCATACAACATACAACATAACCAAATAGTTCTATGGAAATTCTTTGTTTTTTTCAGCAAAAAAACCGGCGGAGATCGTTCCGCCATGGTGTCCCGCTCGGCGCGTTGGTTGAAGCTTTGGCCACGGGGCTCACAACCCAGTCCGCCCTGCCAATCGGTCGCCATTGCCGCTTCACTGAAAACTGGGACCTGTGTATGGCTATATTAACTAGCATATAATATCTACTGTGTGTATATATATAACTATACAGTACAAGTACTGTATATGATATGTGTGTTTATATGATATATATATATATATTATACAGTATATGTAATCTAACTGGAATATAGATGATTGTTATTGCATGTTGTTGCCCACTGGGATACACATCCAAGAAGTGAATTTGAAGGCAATTTGTTTGAGGATGTACCTGTAGGGGTGAGTTTGATGGCGGTTAAACTTTTCGGAAACGAGAAAGATACACTATGATGTTGTATTCTAGGTGGCCTCTGGCTTAGTATTGGATCTATTCATAAATTTGGGTTCCCATACAACCGGTGGTGTTTTATATGTTGAAAAGGCTCTGTATCCCTATGATTTTCAGAATAAAACCATATTACAGCCTGTTGATCCGCCGTTTGTGGTCCCTGAATGGGTTGAAGGGAAACTCTACTGAATTCCTCCATATTTGAAGGTGGAAACCATATGGTTTTGTAATGTTTTGTATATCTTTGCTTCAGGCCCAAACTCCATTGAAACTGGGATGACTTGGGATGTACATTGCAGGATGGTCAAACCATGTTAATTAAATCACCAACTTTGGCGGTAAAAACACAATCTTTGATGGGATTATATACATAACGTGATGTATTCATGGTATTGATTGCAGTGACTTGTGGGGGCTAATCTCAGTTCACCCCATGTTTTACAAACATCAACATTTTTGGCGGATGCACATTTTTTTGCGTCCCCATTTCAGGATGGTTAAACATGGTTAAACTATGTTAAAGCACCATTTGATGATTTGATGCCAATTCTCGGAGGGTTTTTTTTCCACCTAAATTTTGATGGTATGGCGGATGTCTACCTCTGGGGAAACCCTGACATCCAGTCATCCCAGTCCTCCGAGTCAACCGTTTCATCCAACTAGCAGTGCTACATGGCTTGGAGTGTTGCCCCCAGGTGGATTTTCCCTGCGCCGCTTTGTCCTGTCTCCGTGCCTTGCGAGCTGGACCCAGGCGATTTGAAGACTGGGTGAATCATGATACACTGTGGTAGTGCTGATTAATGCTGATTAATATGAGTTAGTTACTGTACCATTTACCATCTGGTTATGACTAACATAGCCATGGAAAATCCCTTATAAATGGAGGTTTATAGCTGGGAAAATCATCTATAAATGGGCAATTTCCCATGGCTATGTTAAATAACCAGAGAGTACATGTTTTAAGAAGGACAATAATGGGATGCTACTGGGATCAGTGGTGATTCATGGGACTTTGGTGATACCCGGCACAGAAAATCGGACGAGGTGTCCTCGAGAAACAGATGGTCCGATGATTTTTTTTCCAGCAGAAATGTGTTCCATCACAGATTCTTGGAACCTTTTTTGGGACACTTTGGTACCCATCTATAAAGGTACCATCAAATATCAAATGGCTTTAGGAAACCGACATATCAAGTAGATATTTCATATGTCATGATATTAGACCCAGATATTTGTACCATATATTAGTACCTTTATTTGTACCATTTATTTGATATGTGGCTCTTGGAAATCCCATGGGAAATCCCACAGTATGGAAGCCATGGCAGCCATGACCCATGACTTTTTTGTGAGGCGCCCGGTCTTGTGGTGATATTCCATGTAAAGAAAAGCGACTCTTCAGTAAATATCATTAAACTATATTATCATGGTGATATTTATTTATAATCATGACAACATATTATTTTGTCATGATTATAATATCACCATATATCACCATATCACCAAATATAGTTTAATGATATAAATATCATTAACAGGTGGAATCTCACCATGATATCATTTAAATTGAGCGTTTTCCGAAACGTTCGAACACGTTCTGCTGCCAGCGTTTTTCACGTCGAGACGAGACGTCCAGGCCGGTGAATCTTCATGTGATTCTGAAGTCTTCCGAGAGGCCGAGTCTTGGGGATGCCACTGCTCTTTGAAAAAAGGATGATGAAATGGATGTTTCCTAAATATGAATATAGGATTACCCTAATCATCTCTATCATCCAATTTTTCATGGCCCATTTTATGAATCATAGGATGATAGGATTACCCTAAATTATTCATAAAGATTGGTTTCCATTCGGTTTCCATATACCATCATATTTCTGACATTTAAACTGACTCTATGATATGATCAAAACCTAACTTCGAATATCCACCATGAAAATCCGACACAAATCGCCGAGTGATTTTTTGGGTCTCCATGGCATCCATGCGTCAGGGGCGAGATCACTCGCATCTTCGAATTTGACCAGGAGATGGTGCCTATGGCGGTCGTCAGATGATGTATATTGCGCATTCTAAAGCCAGGTAAATACTAGATGATAGCACCATATAGCACCTCCCAAAAAAAAGGAAACTTCACTTGATCATACTTGATCACTATTTTAGTTGGATTTTCATTGTTGTTGCAGCGTTATGGGGTGAGCTTGGCCCATACCTTGGAGGAACACATCTTAAGCGTCCGACGACAAGTCACTGCATAGCACGTGGCTGGTCCGTTTTGTCATGGGGGTAGCCCATAAACCATCCAAATCATCCAGCGATTTCCAGTACCTCCATGAAAGCCCGAAAACCCCCAGATGCAGCGGCTAAGCCCGGCGTTTCGGGCTTGGTATGGTTTGGAACATGTTTTATGACTTTCCATATATTGGGAATTTCATCATCCCAACTGACTTTAACTGACGAACTCATTTTTTTCAGAGGGGTAGGTAAACCACCAACCAGGAAACTAAGCCAACCTACCTGGGAGCCCACTTTGCAGGAACTACTTGGTGGTCCACCCCGATACTCCAAGAATCGTAAGTGGATGAGTTGCAAGCCACTTACTGGGCTGACATCACCGGCTACTCAGCTACCCCATGATGATTAGAAAGCATAACTTCCTACATATTGGGGCGTGGTCATTGATCCATTTATTGGGATTCGCATATACTATATATTAATGTATAATATATGTTCTATATACAGTATGTACCTGTATAGCCATCCTGGAGTAGATATGTGAATCATGGTATAAAATACATATAATTGTATGCAGATATTAGATATCCATTTTTTGCAATGTATAAGTAGCCGTCACAAAAGAAACGGGACGACCTGGTCCTTTATTATCCCCATCTTCTCGACAGGATGACCTGGTGCCTCAATAGAAACATGCTCACAGATCCAATAGAAAACACTGGTTTGTATATATATATATAACTGCCAATTCTACTAAGAGCCAAAGAGATCCAAAGAATATATTTCCATTTTGTTTTTTGGTTGAAACTACTGTGTTTAGTAGTTCCATCTGGAGTTTTTCAGGGTGTATTTCATAGTTCGAAGGATTTCTCCCCATGATTTAGGGGATGAATCGGATGAGTCATCCACCATGGCTGTTTTTTTTTTTTCAGGAGAGCGACGAGAGCAACGGTTCTGTGAAGTTTCTTCCTTCTGAGCCAATCCTTGTGGGACTTCCCTGCGGGCAATGGGTCCATGTGAACACCAGATTTTAGTGAGGGGAGTTGATCAATAGATTTAACCATGAAAATGGAGATTTCACATGAATTAACCAACAGCAAATTGTCTTCAGATTGGGTCTTATCTGGCGAATGTTTAAAACTTAAGATAAATAGTGCAATTTCTCACTCAACGGCAGGTTTTCAGAAATACAACACTATTTAACAGCAGTGAAATACGTTTCAATGTGCCCAGATTCTGTTTTTTTTTTTTCTTGGTCTGTTTTATTTGAGGGTCACATAAATCTGGACCTCACTGTTCCCCCGAACCTTGGAATCATGGTCAAAAAGGAAAATCATCCCCATAGCTGGCCTTAATTCAGGTTAGTGAAATATTCTAATTTACCTAGATTTATATACATACTAATTCATAGGTGATACGTTTATCATATATTACAGTAATATTGCTGATGTGTTCTAATATGTTCTAATATGTGATATCATGATATACCATCTGGTTATATAATATAGCCATGGAAAGATCCACCCATTTTTAATAGGTAAACCATCTATTTCTATGGGCTATTTTCCATGATATACCCATATTTATCCAGATTTTCCCAGATTTTCCCAGATTTTCTCAGATTTGTAGATGATATACCCATATTTATCCAGGTAAATGATCATTCATCGGTGACTTCGCCATGGTTCCTCCCGTTCGCCACGTTCGCCACCCCCAGGTCGAACTGGATGCAATAGAGCTTGTACGACTGGAGGTGCGGCGACTGGGTGGGATCAACAAGCCACCAATTATGTCATACGTAAAAACATACAACATATATATATACATTAATATATATATATATATATTCTATATATACTATATATACTATATATACTATATATACTATACTATGTATATACTATGTATATACTATATATACTATATATACTATATATACATAGATGTACTATTTATAATATATGAACTATATATATATAGTTCATAGATTATAAATAGTACATATATGTATATATATACTATAATATATATATATACTATAATATTTATATATATATATATATACTATATATACTATATATACTATATATACTATATATACTATATATACTATATATACTATATATACTATATATACTATATATACTATATATATATATACTATATATACTATATATACTATATATACTATATATACTATATATACTATATATACTATATATACTATATATACTATATATACTATATATACACTATATATACTATATATACTATATATACTATATATACTATATATACTATATATACTATATATACTATATATACTATATATACTATATATACTATATATACTATATATACTATATATACTATATATACTATATATACTATATATACTATATATACTATATATACTATATATACTATATATACTATATATACTATATATACTATATATACTATATATACTATATATACTATATATACTATATATACTATATATACTATATATATATATATACTATATATACTATATATATACACTATATATACTATATATACTATATATACTATATATATATATATACTATATATACTATATATATATATACTATATATACTATATATACGATATATACGATATATACTATATATACGATATATACGATATATACGATATATACGATATATACGATATATACGATATATACGATATATACGATATATACGATATATACGATATATACGATATATACGATATATACGATATATACGATATATACGATATATACTATATATACTATATATACTATATATACTATATATACTATATATACTATATATACTATATATACTATATATACTATATATATACTATATATACTATATGTATACATACTATACATACTATACATACTATATATATACTATATATACTATATATACTATATATACTATATATACTATATATATACTATATACTATATACATACTATACATACTATATATACTATATATACTCTATATACTATATATATACTATATATATACTATATATATATACTCTATATATACTATATATACTATATATATAGTATATATATACTATATATACTATATAAATACTATATATATACTATATATATATACTATATATACTATATATATACTATATATATACTATATATATACTATATATACTATATATATACTATATATACTATATATATACTATATATACTATATATATACTATATATATACTATATATATATACACTATATATATACTATATATATACTTTATATATACTATATATACTATATATATACACTATATATACTATACATACACTATATGTACTATATATATACACTATATGTACTATATATACTATATATATATACTATATATATATATATACTATATATACTATATATACTATATATACTATATATACTATATATACTGCATATACTGTATATACTGCATATACTGTATATACTGTATATATATACATGTGTATTAGTAGTATGTGCTGATTGGACATACTATAATTCTATTTAAATCATAACCGACGTCAACATGGGGTTGCCCTAAATGGAGCTGAGATTGTTTTATTTTTGTGTCAGGTTGGGAGATTATCCTAATGCTCCTAATGCATGCTTGGTTAATCTTGTAGCTGGTTATGTGCTCATTCCTTAGAAATGGTGCTTGGTTATCCAATATGTTTTTGTACTATAATATGCATTGCCCTCCAGGAAACTAACATAGCGGACCTGGAACATCGGCTTTTTTTAATATAGGGATTAACATAGATACTCTAAAAAAAAGGAAATATTGAGGTATCCATCTAACAATATGAATCCATAATTGTTAATAAATTGTTAATAATATGGTTGAAATGTACTAATCCGACTAATCCAATAATTCCTTGATGGTTGGGGCTATGTTTACCACCAAAATCCCGACCCAAATCCCAGCGGCTTATATACATATATATATATATGTATATATATACATATATTATACATATATATGTATTCAGAATATATATATATATATATCCATTGTATATCCCCATTAAATCATATTATATCATATTATAGTTATGTAATGTTATACATATACACTTCCCCATTAGATCCCATTACATCAACAATGATTGATAGTTAAATCGCATTGTCTTGTGGTTAACCCCCCATGCAGCTGAGACAGACCCAATGAGAACCCATCGTGGTTCGTTGAATCCTCCCTATGTCACCCATTGTAGCTGGAATATAACCCTGGTTACCGGTTACCAACCCAACTGGTCGTTTTGGTGCTTGATAGTATCCAATTCTAGTCTGTTCAACTTCCATTGTATCCACATCAAAAATATCTTGTGTTATCCCATCATATCTCCATTTACGGATCGTTAAATATTCACATTATATCCCCATGACCATCACATTGGTTATATCATCCCAGGCGAAAATCACCATAAGATGCCATTCGATCAGTGAACACTGTGAACACTCAATTTAAATGGTAGTTAAATCCCCAGTCCCCATTTAAACATTTAGATCCCATCAACACATGTGAATCCCACTCACAATGAAGGACCCACTATATAAATACCATTTAAATCCCATATACATCCCCTCAGCAAGGTCCATGACGTGCAAATGCATCGATGCATCGCATTCGCAGAGATTGACCCCGAGGTGGCACATGTTGCTTGTGTACTATGTACAATGTCCACTCATGTCCACTCTACGTGTATAAATGAATCAAAATCATGTACTACATGATACTAATGTATATTATGCTTTGGATTCATACATATTCATATATATATACATGGGTATTGTCCAATTAAGAGTCTTACGAAGCCCAACCGGCTGTTGATCATTTGGGTCCCTCGGGTTCAGCTTTTTCACCTCCGGTGGCGGAGGTTGCTTGGAGGTCGTACAGAGTAGATCAAGAAAATTCTTACCATCGAGCTTCGTTAATGGTTATAAATTTTACCCAAGGAAGGAAACAATACAATGGCTGTAAATCTGATTCCATCCATTTTCTGGAATTCAGGGTGGAAACATGGAAACATGTTGTGAAAATTTTTGTCCTAGAATCATGTATTGAATACAAGAAAAGACTTCGAAATTCAGGGATACCCGTTTTCCAGTCTAAGGTACCAAGGGAACCTTTTTTGAATCCGTGGTGGTTAACTGAGTGAAAACCGATTCATTCATTGGGGCATTGGGGGATAGGGAATCGTTTACATATCCATTATTAGTTTGGATTCCCATGAAATGTGCTGGATGACCTAATCCAAACCAGGTTGGTGATCTAATCCATCCAGTGGGGATGCCACCAAGATGATCCAGAGATGGAAGCCTGCTCTCATAACATATAAATGAATATAAATGACTATAAATGGATCAGAAAAATATCACTTATAGTTTGGAATCCAACAACTAGTAGTAATCCAACAACTAGTAGGTAACCTATATCAATATCTCAACCAACTACTGTAGTTTGGAATGAGGGTGAACTGGTCAGTGCCGCAAAGAGCAGATGCTGGGCACATGGACAAGAACAGTGACAAACCAAGATAAACATGGCATGTACAGTTTTTTTTCCTATGCATAAAGGTATTTTATATACCAACCAATTAAATTATCAGATCATATACATAGACATGGAAAAATGTTGATGATCAATCTCTATGCATATGTTTTATATATAAAACTTAATATATCCGAGATATCTTTGGAGAACCTCCGCATGGACCAAGATGAACAGATACTCTGCGGTTTCCTGTTCGGGCCATGATCGACAATTGCTGGCTTTTCCACATCTATGCAAACGTTTACAGGAGGGTACATCATATGTAATTGGTTTATGCTGACTTGGGATTATATTGGTCATTACATATGTTTTTTATAGATAGCTAAGATCGTGAACATCTAACCCTCCATATTGTTAACTATCAGTATGTAACTAAGAATATCAGGGGACACTATCCTCATTAGCTAAGATACTTAATATCTTAATATCCTAAATAGTGATACTTGCAACTCATGGGCAAAACATGTCTTACACTCCTTTGGGACAACATTCCTACCTGCTGAAAACTTCCGCCATCCGCCTCGTGCGCTGCCCTACTTGTAATTTTGTTACTTGAGATAGTTTTTGATCATCCTAGATTGGTAATAATTAAGATGGTAACTACCATGGTAATGATTTTAAGGATGGTAATGGTAATGATGATCATCGGATATCTAACCCCAATATTGCTTTGATTAACTATCCGTATGCCACGTTTTGAATAGGGATGCTATCCTCAGCCAGGAGTTTTTCTCAGATACTTCATGATATTAATCCTCATTAGTGAGTGCTGCGTTAGTCAATGACTGCATATGATAAATGAAGATAGTTAATATCTAACCCCCAATAAATGATAGTGATAGTATCATTGGATTGGTTTAAGGGAAAATCGAAGCCGGAAACCATAGATTGTCCCATTAAACATGTGGGTTTCCTGTAATTTGTTCCTTAAACCAATCCATTGATAGTAGTTACCCTCTGGTAAACTAACATAGCTATTGAACATGGCCATTTATAGTGGATTTAGCCACTAAAAATGGTGATTTTCCACAGTTATGTGAGTTTACCAGAGGGTAACCCCTCCAGGTGAAAATATACTGACATCAGCTCACCCCCTCGGTTGGTTCGCGGCGTTTTTCGACCATCAGCTCTTGGCCACGAAACGCGCCTGGCGCTTGCTGCTCCAAGACCCCTCCAGCTGTGAGGCTCGGAGGAGATCGCGATGAGATCGAATGGATAGATTCGGATAGATGTAGGTATATTATAGGGATATCATATATGAGTATATGGATAATATACCTATAATAATTATGGATTGATATGATTATATGATATGATCATTAGTATTATTATATTATATAGGGATATCAATTATATATATACATAGGTGTTTAATGGATAATGATATTATTAAATTGAAGGGATATCAATAAACATAGGGAATCATAGGGATATATATATATATCCATTAAATAAAAAAAGTGATATTATATATCTATTTAATGGTGATTCAATTGTGATATATGGTGGTTTAACATTGGTATGACTCATAGATATAGTCATGGATACTGGGTATTTCATGGATAATGGCTATGTCATTTAACATCATATAGTCGTCAAGTGAATATAGCTGTGTTTTTGTTTTTGTCATGGTTATTAAGTTTTTTGCGCGTGATTTCATGCAAGCTGCTTGAGAATCTTTGAGATGAATTTTCATGGCCCAAAGTTGATTCAAGTGTGTTGGTGAGGAATGATATACATATATAATTATATATATACACAATTATATACATATACATACACAGCGTTTGAAAGTTGGGTGATTACAGAAAGAATCAGTTCATCACCATCAAGTAATCAGACATGGCTAGCTGGGCAATCCACCGTTTGTAATTGATTTTACTATCAATTGATCTCAGTTTCCGTTTAGGATTTTCCACTGCCATGACTGCCATGGCAATGATCACCAAAGGCTAAAATCATGCGTTCCTTTCGAGTGTCCCTTCAATTACCCTCCGGTAAATTAACATAGACCCTGGCAGATAGGGGTTGGAAGATTGGTTTCCACTCAAAATGGCTTATTTTCAGGGTCTATGTTAATTTACCAGAGGGTAAAATTGGATGACTATCCAACATGACAACTTTGCATATTTTAGGGTCTGGCTCGGCTGCCAACTGCTTCAATGAGTCCGAGAACACCGTTTTCCCAGTTGCTTAAACTCTCCATCATGCTGAAATTCCAATTATCTGTATGTATGTCCTTCAAATTCGGAACCTCAAATCCTCAATTTTTTCTCGTGTCCCCATGGTTACCCTCTGGTAAACATACAAAAAACTATGGACAATCACCACTTTTGATAGGTAAATCAACTATAACTGGACCATTTTCCACAACAAACTGTTAGTTTACCAGAGGGTAGATCCCATTAAATCCTATTAGATCCCATTAAACCACCATAAAATCCCATTTTTACCAAAAGAAACCATTAAAGAAACGGTGGGTTTTGCACCACCGGTGAAGTGCAGGCGATCTATGGCACCTCAGACCGTGGCGCCGCGGATTCATTGGACCGCAACGAGCGGCCACTGTTGCTGGGACCTGTTTGAGGGATTTCATGGCATTGACAGGGGCTGAAACTAGGGGATTTTATGGGATTTTATGGTGGTTTAATGGGATCTAATGGGATTTAATAGGATTTCCCCTCTGGTAAACGTTTACGTAGCTATGGAAAGATCCACAATTTTATAGCTGGGAATATCCACTATTTCGACTGGGCCATTTTCAATAGCTATGTTAGTTTACCAGAGGATAAACTAGGGGATTTCAGTGAGGGGACTTATGATGATTGGGAGTATGGGAATTTGTCTAGTTTTTTTGGGGGTATGAAATGGGATATATTAATATAAGCTTATATATATATATTATATAATTTTGGGATATATCCAGGGATTTTCCAGGGATTTTTTTTTGGTATATTTTTTTTGGATATACGCTATACACCAAGGATTGGTTCATGGGGATCCAGCGACATAGAAGCCATGGCCCAGTCGAAATGTCGTGGATTTACCCAATGAAAATGGTGGATCTTTCCATAGTTCTGTTGATAAACCATGGTTTTTCATAGGTAAAGCATAAAAAAAAGCATGTTGTGCCCTCCTATCGAACTAGTGAATGGGAATATTTTAACCACTGGAGGGCACAACCCTGTATAGGGGATAGATAACCATTGTTATTTCAACGGGAGAACCCCAAGTTCAATGAAACTCATCATGAAACCTGAAGTGACACAAGAAAAAGTACACTCCATGTTTGGACAAGTACAAGGGGTGCAGTTGCAGTTGTAAGTGGATGTATGTATGTATATATATATATGTTTTGTTATATATATATAATTAGATATATACATATTTTATATAATGTACGTACAGCAATAAATATATATATATATCACTATAGTGAAAAAGGGCTCTTACCCCAAGCTATTTAGGTGAATTCATTACTGCGTCCCAACTAGGGCCGTGGGTAAGTCCCATTTCGGGACCAATCCTTCCCGCCCTTCCCTTTAGATTCCCCATTACACCTTAATTTGCTATTGTTATTATTGGTATTTGTTGGTTATATACACTGAAAAACTATCCACATTCCAATGTCACATTCCCCACTATTGCTGGTTAGATATTCCTCTTATGTATCATTACAAAAACCATTTTATACCCCAATATGACGGGTTTGGTACCATCATATACTATTATTCCATTATATCCTATATCCCCACTTATATCCCTAGTGGTTGGTATCCTGTTAAATCAAAGGCAGTCCTATGTTTCTAATATGGTTGAGCAATCCTGTATGGTATCCCCATTGTTCCCTTCACTGCCTCCACTTATGCTTCATGTATGGAGTGTTTACCTACAAACTGGGTCATTTTGGGGGCTTTTATTGGTGGCAAATCTTCCAGTACCACGGAGCGCTTTTGGGTGTCTTCCATGTACAACCTGTCGCCTGTCTTCCGAGGAATCGCCGACCGAGTTTTTTACACTTGGTCACGCAGGAAGGGGTCAACCGATTTGATCTGTGGAGAACATGGGGAAGTTTGGAGTAACAATCACAACGATTCTTAAAACGGAGATATGGGGGTCTCCTAAAATGGGGGTACCCCCCAATCATCCATTTTAGTAGGATTTTCCCATTATAAACCATCCATTTTGGGGTACCCCATTGTAGGAAACCACCATATATTGTGGTAATGTCATTATTGGTGCCAATTTTATGAATAGTTAACAGTCTTGATATGTCTGTGTTCGAAAGTTTGTTTTGGCAGCGCGTGCTCTCGGCCACAGCGTGTTGTGTGAGGTGTTGGATTTGGATTTGACTTGCTTAGAGCATCCATGAAGGTTGCAGAGCAGGAACCCCTGTATTATACATAATTAGCATAATTAGTATTCTTAAATGGGAACCCCTCTATTATACAAATATATATATATATCATTGATACCGTATACTGACAATTACCCAATATTGTTGAGTTCTGTCCCCACAGATGGGACAACGATCCTCCATGGTTTAGCTACGGCAGTTTTGGAACAGGTTCTTGTGATGCTTGGGCTATGTTTCTAGGCCGTTTTTTTTTTGCGGTTTCAAACTGCAATCATGTCACCAAGAACCATTAGGATGATGTATAATATATATAAAGAACCATTAGGATGATATATATATATATATATTGTGTGTGTGATTGGGTCAGTTGAGTCAGTTCTTTGGTGAAACATTGGCATGATGCCCATTTAGATAGATAAGATGATAGTTTTACTGTCATAGATGAGTATGACATACTTCATGTGGGGAGCAGCTCAGCGGTCTACTTGTGGGTGCGTTTCAGTAAGTGGCTAATCACCAGGAATTACAACCTGCGGAAACAGAGAAGTAGCCCTGGTTCTGCAGAGGAGTCCCCAAGTGATCAGGAAACCAGTGCACCCCTGGGAGCGAAAGCCAGGATTGCTCGAGCGAGGCTGGCACTCTGTGGGCCGGAGCCAGTTCTTCCGCAGTTTTTTCAATTTTTGCAACAACAAAATGGTGAGTTCAATCAACGACACTAAACTGGTTGGTGGTTTCAAACATTTTTAATTTCCATTTCATATATAGGATGTCATCCGAAACCCATTGACGAACTCCATCATTTTTCAAGATGGTTAAAACCATCAACCAGCATATATATATATATATCATGATGTATAGAGATATAGATATACCATATATATATAAACTGTTAGCCCCAAAGCTGCTTGGTGATTTTTTTAAGGATTTTGCTGTGCCACTTGATTGGAATTGGACCCAGAGTTGGATCAAGTTGCTATGAGAAGTGGATTTGTTCGTTAACAAACAAGGGGATGGTCATTTTCCTGTGCCACTGTACCCGGCCTGGTAAACGTTTATATATGGAAAGATCTATCACCATTTTTCATGGGAAAATCCACTGTAAATGGTGATTTTCCATAGTTATGTTAAATTACCAGAGGGTAGATGATGTGCTCATTACGGAGTTCAACGAGTTTTTTGGCATGATCATGGACCATACAGAGGCCATTGCTGTCTACCAATGGCATGGCTACGCTGCCGGGCTCTCCATATTGTGTGGTGACATACTGTGGAACTAAGAATTCCTGCACCAGTTGGTATCTACTGGTGATTATTAAACACTGTACATTTGTTAAGTAGTGGGATTATAATGGGTAAACCATCTACCAACTGGTGAAGGATTTCTTCCTTCCGCATTATGGTACCGATTATTGGTCAATTTTGAAATCTCTTGCCGCATTTGTGAAGATAGCCCTATTTGATCCCATTGGCACAGTTTACATTCCAATGTGGCTTTGTTTGAGAAGATGGTATCTCACTCAATCCACTGTTGTTACTCATCATTTTCCCAGTACCAACACTGCCAAAACTGGGGGATACACAGCCCATTTTCAGGTGCCACACGCAAATATCATATTGTTGGTTATATATCCCCGTTGTATCCTGATGATATCACCATTATCCCATTATATATATATTTACATACAGTGTGTATATATAATATATATATAATATATATGTATATAATATATATGTATATATTGGTAGTCCCAGCGATTTTCTCCCCTTCGCCCTGCCATACCCCTTGGCCTCACATGCCACGTAAATCATGTGAAACAAATCAGCCCAAATGCTGGGGTTTGCTGAAGTGAGATAATTCTTTGACAGGAATTGAGTTTAACACATGAACAGGTTGATGATCCATGATGATTAATTGTTTGCACATTTCTGACATATATATATATAACATTTTAGCTTTTAATTGTATATATATACAGGATCCATTTTTAGGCTGATTGAAATGATGAATTGAGAATGAACAAATGATCAACGACCTTTGATGATAAATCCTGAGGTTTTTCTTTGCCACAAAGTGATCATGTAGCGCAAAAAAAATTCCTGCTGCAGTTCGCAAGATCCATTACTGGTGCAAGTTCAAAGATCTTCATATTATTATTGGTGCCTGCCTAAATTCATCTAAATTCCATGGAATCCAAATCCCATGTCTGAAACATTCCATGAAATCCCATAAAATTCCATTAAACCACCATGAAATCCCATTAAACCACCATAAAATCCCATTAAACCACCATTAAACCACCATAAAATCCCATGGTAAATACCATTCAGAATCCCATGAAAAATCCATTTACCCCACTATAACTGGAGGCCTTGGATGGCGCCTCAACACCCTCCACGGCCAGCCGTGAGACGGAGGTCACCCGTGAACGGCTTTGGGAAAGAAGCAACATGGCTATTAGTAGGATATCCCCAAAAAGGATTGATATGATATATGATATATGATATGATATATGATATATGATATATGATATATGATATATGACATGATATGATATGATATATGATATGATATGATATATGATATGATATGATATGATATGATTAACATTGATTAACCCCCATTGGTATTGATGAAATATGATCACAGATGGTAAATATGATTATAGTCCCCCCAAAAAGAATAACCCTCCAAACAATGATTAGTTGGTAAAACCCGAGACTAAGAAAACAGTGGAGCTTACTCTACTATGTTTATCATCATCGTTTATCACCTATTTCTATGGGCCATGACTTCATATACGTATATGTAACAAAGAACCAGAATGTAGACATTTTGCATCCACAAATTTTCTGTGTAATCCCGGTCGATCCACTGGGAGACTTCCATGTGGGACAATCCAATGAGGAGAGCGCTAGTCCCTCAGCTTAGATTCACGACGCGAGCGAACTGTGACAGTCATGGCGCCAGCTGACACTCGTACAGTATCATATTGGTTTACTATGTCCAATAAGGGTCAAACAATGTTTGAGAATGGGGATTTATTTGGTCAATATGAATACATGTAAGTATAATATGGGAATTCATTATTATTCAATTTTAAGATACACAAATAAGTTAGTTATATACATTATTTGACAATATCATGAATTGTTGATTATCACCGCATATACATAGTATATAGATATTAACACATCGTATAAAAGAAGTCAAACATGATGTTTTTTTATTAGCCACTTACTACCTGGGATGAAGAAGTTACACAATTTACATTCCAAGTTCTATTACTATATGTGACTGATTTGTGTAGGTTTCTTTCTTAGCCTGACAACAGCTATTTCAACAATGTTAGAACATGTGGCTGGCTTCAGATCGCCGTAATACGCAGAGTATCCAGGTGCAGCAGAAATAAAACGTGAAACCAGCATAAACCAGCCACAAACATGCAGGCCGATTGGTAGGTTCACAATTTCGGTCATCGGTTGGCATGCGGGCCGGTTCACCCATTGGTAGAGCCAAAAAAGGAGCATATTTGTGTTTATGGCCTCAGCTTAGCAGACATGCATGCATACATGCATGCATACATGCATACATACATACATACATGCATGCATGCATGCATACATACATACATGCATGCATACATACATGCATGCATGCATGCATACATACATGCATGCATGCATACATACATACATGCATGCATGCATGCATACATACATGCATACATGCATGCATACATACATGCACACATACATACATACATGCATGCATGCATGCATACATACATGCATACATACATGCATGCATGCATGCATACATACATACATGCATGCATGCATACATACATGCATACATGCATGCATACATACATGCATACATACATACATACATGCATGCATGCATGCATACATACATGCATGCATACATACATGCATACATACATGCATGCATACATACATGCACACATACATGCACACATACATGCATGCATACATACATACATACATACACATACATACACATACATACACATACATACATATACACACATATACATACACATACATGCACACATACATGCATGCATGCATACATACATACATACACATACATACATATACATACATATACATACATATACATACATATACATACATATACATACATATACATACATATACATACATATACATACATATACATACATATACATACATACATATACATACATATACATACATATACATACATATACATACATATACATACATATACATACATATACATACATATACATACATATACATACATATACATACATATACATATACATACTATACATACATATACATACATACACATACATACATACATACACATACATACACATACATACACATACATACACATACATACACATACATACACATACATATACATACATACACATACATACACATACATACACATACATACACATACATACACATACATATACATACATACACATACATACACATACATACACACATATACATACATATACATACACATACATACACATACATACACATACATACACATACATACACATACATACACATACATACACATACATACACACATACACATACATACACATACATACACATGCATACACATGCATACACATACATACACATACATACACATACATACACATACATACACATACATACACATACATACACATACATACACATACATACACATACATACATACATACACATACATACACATACATACACATACATACACATACATACATACATACATGCATACACATGCATACACATGCATACACATGCATACACATGCATACACATGCATACACATGCATACACATACATACACATACATACATACATACATACACATGCATACATACATACAACATACATACACACACATACACACACATACACATACATACATGGGCAATACCACATGCGGCCGCGTACGCACATGCATACACAGTGGGCATACAGCATTTCCTATTCAGAGGGATCCACACCCACAGCATACACACAATACAATGCATTTGCCCCAACCCTGCATACATCATACATAGCACATACGACTACACAGTTACGATCCATACATAAGCAAGCTATATCACGATAGCATACATACACATACATACACATACATACACATACATACACATACATACACATACATACACATACATACACATACATACACATACATACACATACATACACATACATACAAATACATACACATACATACACATACATACACATACATACACATACATACACATACATACACATACATACACATACATACAAATACATACACATACATACACATACATACACATACATACACATACATACATATACATACATATACATACATATACATACACACACATACACACACATACACACACACATACATACACATGCATACACATACACATGCATACACATGCATACACATGCATACACATGCATACACATACATACACACACATACACACACATACA